CTCTCTCTCTCTGTCTCTCTCTGTCTCTCTCTCTCTGTCTCTCTCTCTCTGTCTCTCTCTCTCTGTCTCTCTCTCTCTGTCTCTCTCTCTGTCTCTCTCTCTGTCTCTCTGTCTCTGTCTCTCTCTGTCTCTGTCTCTCTCTCTCTGTCTCTCTCTCTCTGTCTCTCTCTCTCTGTCTCTCTCTCTCTGTCTCTCTCTCTGTCTCTCTCTCTGTCTCTCTGTCTCTGTCTCTCTCTCTCTCTGTCTCTCTCTCTCTGTCTCTCTCTCTCTGTCTCTCTCTCTCTGTCTCTCTCTCTCTGCCAGTTCCACTCCCTCTTCCCCCTTGGATCTCTCAGGTGGCCTTGATGTTGACCCCGACTCCCCTGTGATACAACTCTGATCTTGCAGACATTTATCCCGTTCCTCCAATCTTCTTCAGCTTCCTGAACTACAAAGGAAATCCTGATCTTGAAAACCGTGCAAAAGTGTGTCATGGTTTACTTGAGCTTCTGGAAACCAGCGGGGGCCCTTCTCACCTCTTGCGTGGACTCTTTATCTTTCTGGAACTGATGTCTCTCATGGTTCAACTTCTCCCCCATCTTTCTCTTGTTCTCCTGTTCTTCCGTGAGCTGAACGGTGAGATCTTCAATTTCGTCCAACAACTTCTGCTTCTCCTGGAAGAAAGGAAGGAAGGAAGGGAAAGGAAAGGAAAGGAAAGAAAAAGAAAGAAAACAATGAACTGGGAATCTTCTAGCAGTTTCATCCATGAGGAGAAAGAACTGAGGTCCCTCAGTGATAAAGCACAAGGTTGGCATGCAAGCCAGCTAGGCTTCATCTCACCACTTGACTGTACCTATTGTCTACGGGCAACAGAACTAGACCAAGAAATCACGCTAGTTGAGTCCAACATCCGTCCCAGCTGTTGAACAGGAACTACTGGATTGTGCTTTTTTATATTGGGGGTGGGGGATAGAACTCACTGAGAACAGCAAACTCAACTAGCTGGTTGGCCCTAGAATTGTCCTCCAGTCCTCCTTTCCTGTTAAGCAGCTGACATCTGCTGCCTCTGTTCTGCCCAACAAGAAGGACTAGGGAAGAGTCAACAAAGCCTGGCCCCCTGCTGCTGGTTATTGCGGGACGATGAAGTTTTCATTTCTGCAAGACTCCCAATGCCCCACCACAATGTTCTGGGATACTGCAAAGGCTTCCATTTCACCTGGGTTTAGTAATATGGGGGAAATGCAGGGGTGAAATCAAGCAAGTTCTGAAAGGTTCTGGTAGCAGAAATTTTGAGCAGTTCACAGAAACGGCAAATGCCACCTCTGGCTGGCCCCAGAGTGGGGAGGGAATGGGGATTCTGCAGTATCCTTCCCCTGGAGTGGGGAAGGAATGGGGATTCTGCAGTATCCTTCCCCAGGAGTGGGAAGGGAGTGGGGATTCTGCAGTATCCTTCCCCTGGAGTGGGGAGGAATGGAGATTTTGCAGTAACCTTCCCCAGGAGTGGGGAAGGAATGGGGATTTTGCAGTATCCTTCCCCTGGAGTGGGGATTCTGCAGTATCCTTCCCCAGGAGTGGGAAGGGAGTGGGGATTCTGCAGTATCCTTCCCCAGGAGTAGGGAGGGAATGGGGATTCTGCAGTATCCTTCCCCAGGAGTGGGGAGGGAATGGGGATTCTGCAGTATCCTTCCCCAAGAGTGGGGAAGGAATGGGGATTCTGCAGTATCCTTCCCCTGGAGTGGGAAGGGAATGGGGATTCTGCAGTATCCTTCCCCTGGAGAGGGGAGGGAATGGGGATTCTGCAGTATCCTTCCCCTGGAGTGGGAAGGGAATGGGGATTCTGCAGTATCCTTCCCCTGGAGAGGGGAGGGAATGGGGATTCTGCAGTATCCTTCCCCTGGAGTGGGAAGGGAATGGGGATTCTGCAGTATCCTTCCCCTGGAGAGGGGAGGGAGTGGGGAGGGAATGGGGATTCTGCAGTATCCTTCCCCTGGAGTGGGGAGGGAATGGGGATTCTGCAGTATCCTTCCCCTGGAGTGGGGAGGG